GATTGGGGAGTAAATGAACAATACACCTCTCCCATTAGCTTTGCAAATCTTCCTTTCCAATAAAAAATACTTTTTTCTTTTTTTAAAAGCATGTTGCAATTATTCCCAAGGCATACCTTCTCACCAGCTATTTTTCTGTTCTTCATTAATTATTGTTTTTTTAATTTTTTTTTAAGATTTATTTATTTTCATTGGAAAGTCAGATATACAAGACGAGGAGAGGCAGTGAGAAAGATCTTCCATCTGATGATTCACTCCCCAAGTGACCGCAGCGGCCGATGCTATGCTGATCCGAAGCTGCGATCCAAGAACTTCTTCCAGGTCTCCCACATGGGTGCAGAGTCCCAAGGCTTTGGGCCGTCCTCAACCGCTTTCCTAGGCCACAAGCAGGGAGCTGGATGAGAAGTGGAGCTACTGAGATTAGAACCGGCATCCATATGGGATCCTGGCGCGTTCAAGATGAGGACTTTAGCCGCTAGGCCACGCCACCGGGCCCTATTTATTTTTTCTATTCTTCAAATTCCAACTCTCCAGCCTCCAGGAAGACACATTTACAAGCTGTTAATAGTAGAAAGTGGAAACCTCATATTCCAAATGTTTTTCTGATAAAAGAACAAGAACATTCCTTGTGATGAAAATCTTTCAGTAATACTTCACTTGTTTCTCCTTGTTCCACTCTTCTCCTTTTGTTGTCCTCTCCACCCGGTCCATGGCCAGATGTAGCCTTAGCCTGGTCACAGCTTTGAAAAGCTGCTTTTACGATTGACTCAGCAGTTAGCAGTTTATAATTCTAGGCAGAGGGATTTGCGGATTTAATTATGGTACTGTTTGGACTTTTCTGTAATTTCTACATGTATCAGAAAAGAAAAACGGCAACATGATTAGCTTCTGGTCCTCTGTCCTGGGGGTGTGCAGGGTGCTGTTGCTATCTCAGTCCCCAAGCTGTTAGCAGGACCACAGTGTTTCCTTTGTGCACAACGAGAGCTCTGTGTTCCAGGCAGTGTTTCTCCCACCTAACACCCAGAGCTTGCCAACCATTCTTGCAGGACCGGGAAGTGAACCGTCGATACTAAAGATGCAAAAACAAAATAAGGAGATATGGAATCCCCCGGGACTGCTCCACTGAACTCTACCATGGATTTCTTAGTAGCTTTGCTCCAGTTCCCAGGGAAAATAACCAGGCTTTGAGGCAGACTATAAACCTGACTATAGCCATGGGGGTGGTCTGAACCAAGGTGACACATTGCTTGGCGTGTGGGGAGGCTGAGGGCACAGGATGAAAGAACTTGTTGAGCCCATGTGTGAGCCAGTCTTGGTTGCACCCTAATTTGCCACCTGTTAAGAGCCCACAATCCTGGGTGCTCCTTTCTTGTCTTCATCATTTCTTGTCTTCTCTAGAATTTTACATGCAGTTTGTTAAAATACAGATAGGCGTTAGGCTAGTAGTAATTCCTGGGTTGGGTTATTCGTGTCCTACACTGGACTGCCTGGGAACAAGTCTGTGCTCTGCTCTAGATTTCAGCTCCCTGCCAGTGCCTACTGTGGGAGGCAGTGCTGATGGCTCAAACAGTTGGGTTCCACATGGAGTATCTGGTTTGAATTCCTGGCTCCTGTTGGCTCAGCCTGAGGAGTAACCCGCTTGTGGGAGCTTATTTATTTTCCCTTCTTTCTCTAAATACATAAATTAAATCAAATAGTTGAATTCCACGTAGCTTTATGAACCTTATCACTGAACCGTCCGGTTCATTGGGCTTGGGGTGATGCATAATACCCTGCATTTTCAGCAAGTGCTCACAGGATGCTGATGCAGCTATTTGGAAAAAATTCCTTAAGAGCCACGAATAAGGGCCTGCATTTTGGCATAGTGGCTGAGGCTGCTAACTGCATTGCCACCATCCTGTATTAGTGCTGGTTTAAGTCTCAGCTGTTGCACTTTTCATCAAGTGCATGCATCCCTCTTCCGTGGGAGACTCACATGGCTTTCCCCTCTTCTAGCTCTGGTCATTTGGCTATCTGGGAAGGGAAAGAGCCTGTTCTCTCCAAGACATCTCATCTGCACTTCAGATTCCTCTCCTGTCTAATCCTAAGAAGTAAAAATTAACTAAGGCAAAAAGACAGCAAATGTTGAAGAATGAAAGTTTAGATTAGGAGGATATGTGAAGGCCTTACCAAGAAAGCAACTGTAAAGTCTCAAAGGAAGTAGGAAACATGTAATGAGGAAGTGAGGGGATAATATTAACTATTATCGTCACTGCTATTGGCACTGTTGAGATATAACTACAGAAATACAGTTATTATATCGTTGCTACTCTTTACCACAATCAATGTTATCATCTTGCTCATGGCTGATTCTGGCTGGGTACTTTTAGCAATGGCATCTAGCAGCCAAGGTTTAAGTTATAAAGCTAGGACTACTGAAACTAGTCACAAAGCTACAAATGGGAATTGAACATACATTTAGTAGCTGCAGATGGCTGCTGTGTGTGTGTGTATGTGTACGCGCACTGAGCAGAAAAAAAAGGCCAGTCTCAGGTTGTGGATTCCTCTTGAAATATCCACATTACAGGATTACATCCAGGCCCGAAGGACATTGATACAAAGATGTCTCCAAAGCAACAGTAAAATGCAAATCAAATCTCAAAATCAGTGAAAATGCAGGGTGTGTTGATATGGAGGTCACAAGACTGTTTCTATGAGAATATTAATTTGCTGGTAAGGGATAGGAATCTGCAATGCCACCTGGAATGATTCAGACAAACTGGAAATTCTTGCTATTTACCAAACTGAACAACAGGCTGAGACAAAGGTGGATGCATAAATACCTGCTGGATAGCACTCCAGAAGAGAACAACTTGATTGTGATGGATGTGTATTATTCATTCATTTTTATTTATTGGAAAGGCAGTGAGACACAGAGACAGACAGATCTTCCATCAGCTGGTTCACTCACCAGATGCTTGTTACAGCCAGGGCTGCATCAGGACCAAGCTGGGAGCCTGGACTCAGGCCAGGTCTCCTACATGGCTGACAGGCAACCAAGTACTTGAGCCATCAGCCATTGGCTCATAGGGCACACGTACAAAGGAATGCAGGAATCAGAAGCAACGTGCAGATTTGAACGCAAGCACTTGTGACATAGCCTCCCACGCGGTATCTTAACCATTGCTCCAAACACTTGCACACGTGATTTTTTTTTTAATTAAGACTTATTTATTTTTATAAAAAGGGCAGATTTACAGAGAGAAGGAGAGACAGAAAGATCTTCCATCCGCTGGTTCACTCCCCAAGTGGCTGCAACAGCTGAGCTGAGCTGATCTGAAGCCAGGAGCCAGGAGCCTCATCCAGGTATCCCATACGGGTGCAGGGTCCCAAGGCTTTGGGCCATCCTTGACTGCTTTTCCAGGCCACAAGCAGGGAGCTGGATGAGAAGCGAGGCTGTTGGGATATGAACTGGCACCAACATGGGATCCCGGTGCATGCAAGGTGAGGACTTTAGCCACTAGGCTACCACACCAGGTCACATGTATGCATGTGAATTTTTAAAAAATTATTTTATTTGTTTGAAGATTGTGCTACATAAATTGAGAGGGAGAGACAGAGATTTTCCATTGGCTGGTTCACTCCCTAAGTGGCTGCAATGGCTGGGGCGAGGCTAGGCTGAAGCCAGGAGACAAGAGCTTTCTTCTGGGTCTTCCACAAACTGGAACCGTACAAGATACTAGCATCACAGGCAGCTTAACACACTATACCACAACAATGGCAGCCACATGATTTTTTTTTTTTTTAAAGACTGTGCTAACATTGTAGCAAAGCAGATTAACCATTGCTGGCAACCCATATAAGCATCGATTCCAGCTATTCCATTTCTTATTCTGCTCCCTGCTAATGTGACTAGAAAGGCAGGAGAGGCAGCCCATGACGTGGGGCCCTTTTACTCATGAAGACAGAGTTCTGAGATGGAGTTCCAGGTTCCCAGCTTTGGCCTGGCCCAGCCTTGGCCACTGTAGCTACTGGGAAGTGAATGAACAGATTCGAAATCTGTGTCAATCTCTCTATAACTCCGCTTTTTATTTTTTAGAAGTGATTTGTACATAAGGTTTTTTTTTTAAAGATTTATTCATTTTTATTGGGAAGGCAGATATACAGAGAGGAGAGACAGATCTTCCATCTGATGGTTCCTCCCCAAGTGACTGCAACAGCTGGAGCTGAGCCAATCTAAAGCCAGGAGCCAGGAGCTCTTCTGGGTCTCCCACACAGGTGCAGGGGCCCAAAGCTCCTGGTTCCTGGTTTCGGATTGGCTCAGCTCTAGCCATTACGGCCACTTGGGGAGTGAATCAACAGATGGAAGATCTTACTCTCTGTTTCTTTTTCTCTCTGCCTTCCCAATAAAAATAAATATATCTTAAGAAAAAAAAGCCTAAGAAAGAAGAAAATAAAGAAGTCAATTATGCTTTATGGCTTCAGCTAATTATAATTTTTTAAAAAAGATTTATTTTATTGGAAAGGCAGATTTACAGAGAGGAGGAGAGACAGAAATATCTCCCATCCGCTGATTAACTTTCCAAGTGGCCACAGCAGCCAGAGCTGATCTGATCTGAAGCCAAGAGCCAGGAGCCTCTTCCAGGTCTCCCATCCTGGTACAGAGTTCCAAGGCTTTGGGCCATCTTCCACTGCTTTCGCAGACCACAAGCAGGGAGGCGGATGAGAAGTGGAGCGGCTGGGATATGAACCAGCACCCATTTGGGATCCCAGTGCTTGCAAATAGAGGATTTATCCACTGAGCCATCATGCCGGGCCCGCAGCTAACTATAACTTAGGTCGTATTTTTAATATTGTCACTGACTACCATTACCATGACCTCAGCTTCCATGTCGTTTGGAAAATCTTCATCTGAAGGGGAGCGTGCAGGCGAGGAACAATTTTGAACAGTGGGAGGAGAGAAAATTCTGCCTAGGGACTGAGTCCATTCAATCTGTCAAAGATTTAGAAAACAGCATGTCAATTACCATACACTTTATTGCCTCTTTTTGGAAACATCCTCATGTCATTGCACGGTGAGCAAAGCTCTGTGGTGAGTCCGCTCTCTCTGTGAGCTGCTGAGCCAGGGTGCCTGTAACATCTGCAGAGTCCTTCAGCCCAGACTGCAGCAGAAACTCAGTGCAGGCCAAGTGCTGCCCTGCGCAGGCCAGATGCAGGGCTGCGGGGTCACAAAAGTGGCACAAGGTTAGCATATGAGCCCTGGAGTAATACAGTGAAAGTTGATTGCATTCAACAGATACTGATTCTTTCAGTTATATAGATTTTATACTTTCATTATCTATCACTATGCCTTTGCCTATACTGGATCAAAATATTTTTCTTCCTTTGCTTTTTTTTTAACCCGAGTTCACACAACTTGTAAACAAAATCAGAGAAGATTTAAAAAATTGATCTAAAGCAACTAAGCAAATGAATTGGAAACGGGAAATGAGTCCTCCTCACTGTCATTCTGATAGTAAAACACACTTTAAATGGGACAAAAACTTTCTCCAAGTTTCACTGAATTCTGTTTTTAAAAAAGTAAATGTATCACCATAGATAGAAATGACATGACAAAAAGAAAACTGCTGACAGATTTCCCATTCCGCTGTAGAACTTAGTGCCCAAGGTTCCTTGTGTGCTAAGAGTCCAAGAAAACTGCCGGTCGTGCTGGGCGTCCTGAGGAAAAAGCCTGTTGTCCCTTTCCCACGCTGAGTGGTGGTCCTTTCAGCACCAAATTGAGTTGTTGCCCGAGAGCCTCTGAGCTATCTAAATGTGTGTAGGATGGCCACCAGCTCACAGAATGGTAACCAGGGAGTTTATTCCAAAGTTCTAGCTTCAGGAATTAGCTCTGAAACCATTTCTTCTCTTCCTAAACATTCACACCTGCTTACCCCGGTTAGGGGCATAATGTGGTTTTGGCTTTTGCCATGTGCCTCCATCCCCTGCTCATATTCTCTGTATAGATGCTTGTTTTTTTTCTACAAAGGTCCTTTCAAGTGATTTTGCCTTTGTGTTTTACATTAAAGGCTTTCATTCTTCCTCTTCTCCAGAGTTTATCATTCCAAGTTTCCTCATCACTGGCATCCAGTTTATCAACATCCTCGAGATAACCCAAGTCATTCCCATGATTTCATCATCTTTCACAAATTTTTTTTCTCAGATCTTTATCACCATCATTCTCAGCATCTGAAGAGTCTTTCTCTGCCACCTGTTGCTTTAGCGCCTTGTAGAAGACATGAATGGGGATGATGATGCGTATGTATTCTTTGTCTCTTCAGCAATTCCTTCTCAATGGCATTGTCTAACCGAGGAGCTATTAATGTCTTTTCCTCTTCTCTCCCTAAGCTCCATTTTCTTACTCAAAGGAACAAGTTTTCTCTCTCACTTTAGTGAAAATTTCATAACTTGAAATGACATACTAGGTTATTGTGCTGAATCTATTTATACTTGGAATTGAATAAAAACTTAACTAATAAATCAGATTTTAATGTATTTGCTTCAGTGATTTCTCATACTTTTATTAAGCCAGACCCAACCCCCCGAGATGTTCGGGAAAGCCTATTCATTATATCATGTACAAGTAGTCTGTCCTTTCTCTTCTTTGATAGCAGCATATTGACTACCTGCCAGGAAGTGGGACGGCCAACTGCACAGTCTAATCCAACTGTATTCATTTCTGTAAAAGCTCTAGCAGTTGGTTCACTTAAAAACATCCTGTGGTTTTACTTTTTAACTTAAAAAAATTAATAGACGTAAAATTGCATATATTTATGGTGTTATATGATATTTCAGTAAATGCATACATTGTAAAATATCCAATCGGGGTACATACATCAATATTTTCAAATTTTTAAAATGTCTTTATTTTGAAAATATTCAAAATTTATCTTCTGATTGTCTTTAGAGATATTATCTTTAGTCAGTTCAGTTAACTGTGTCACAGAACTGCCAAACTTCTTAAAAATTAAAAAAAAAATTTTTTAAACTTTATTTATTTTTATTAGAAAGTCAGATATACAGAGAGGAGAGACAGAGATTTTCCACCCACTAATTCACTCCTCAAGTGCCCACAGCAGCCAGAGCCGAGCCAATCTGAAGCCAGGAGCTCAGTCTCTTTCAGGTTTCCCATGCGGGCCAAGACTTTGGGCCATCCTCAACTGCTTTCCCAGGCCACAAGCAAGGAACTGGATGGGAAGCAAGACTGCTGGGATTAGAACCGGTGTCCATATGGGATCCTGCTGCATGTAAGGTGAGGACTTTAGCCGCTAGGCTACTGCGCCCGGTCTACCTCTTTCTTTTTCTACTTGTTTTTAAAGATTTATTTATTTTCATTGTAAAGGCAGATTTACGGAGGGAAGGAGAAAGATCTTTCATCTGCTGGTTCAGTCCCCTAATGACCACAATGGGTCCCAAGGCTTTGGGTCATTCTCTGCTGCTTTCTCAAGGCATAAGCAGGGAGCTAGATGGGAAGCAGAGCATCTGGGACACAAACCAGCACCCATATGTGATACCTGTGCTTGGAGGTAGAGAATTAGCCAGTTAAGCCAATGCACTGGCCCCACCTCCCCAAATTTATTTCTATCTAACTTTAACCTAGTGTCCATCACCAACCTTGCATAATGCCTCCCTTTCTCTAACTGGTTCTTATTTTTGAATGAACAAAACTGTTTGTTTCCTAATATTTTACAAATAATTATTATCTAACTATATGATATTGGTGTTTCAGCATGCAGTATGTGAGCCCTAAATTTCAAAAAACATGGTTAATATGGTTTTAGTCTAAACACACTTCAAAGAAAGGAGACATCAGAACAAATAATACAATATGTGGATAATAGTCACCATGTGGATGAAACAGAATGTGCTTTTATGCCACATATAATGCTATGGTTTAGAATAATAACAAAAGGGGTCAGCATTCTCGTATAGTGGGTAAAACTGCCTGCTGCAACACCAGCACCCCAGAAGGGTGCTGGATCAAGTCCCGGCTGCTTCACTTCTGATCCAGCTCCCTACTACTGCACTTGGGAAAGCAGTGGAAGATGGCCTAAATTCTTGGATTCTTGCACCCTTGTGGAAGATCCAGGTGAAGCTGCTAGTTCTGGTCTTCAGTTTGGCCCAGCCCTAGCTGTTGTGGTCATCTGGGGAATGAACCAGCAGAATGATTATCTCTCTGACTCCGCCTTTCAAATCAATAAAAATAAATCTTTCAGAAAAGCAAAAACAGTAACAACAGTAGTTATCAGTAATAATCATCAACAATGTCATGGCTATAACAATACTTCTATAACTTTACAGAGGACAAGTTACTTTAAGGAAAGTTTCTGAATAACTGGGAAATAAACTGATTTTATTTATTTATTTGAGTAGTAGACAGTAAGCTCCCACTTGCTTGCTTACTCCTCAAATACCTGCAATGGCCAGGGCCAGGGTTGAGGATGGGGCCAGGAGCCAGAAACTCAATCCAGGACTCTTATACAAGTGGCAAGGACCCAACCACCTGAGTTATCATCTGAGCTATTACTCCAGGGTCTGCGCTGGCAGGAAACTACATCTTAACTGGTATCTTGACCAGCATCTTGACTACTGTGCTACCTGCATGTCTCCAAATCATTGTTTTTAATATGAAAATACGTATATTGTTCACATTCAATTTACTAATAATTTTCAAGGCACATATAAAATTAAGCTGTACCTGATCGATTTCTTACATCTTTGGCATTGATGTCGGCGCCCAAGGATAGGAGAGTCTGAATTGTATTAACATGTCCTTCCTGGGTGTTAAAAGAAACTTGTTGTCATTGTTATGAGAACAAAAACAAACCAGTAAACACAAACTCTAACGTACATTAGGTATCTTTCCTAAAACAGTCGACTGCTAAAACTGCTTCTCTATAGCCAAAGAAGACAGAGTATATCAAATCCTACTATAAATCATCAGGTATACATTTTGGTGATATTTAATTACTTAGAATATATGATCATTGTTTCTTTGCCTTTTGAGGCAAATAGAGAAGATAGAGGAACAACTCTGCAGACCAAACTACTGACCCAGCAGAGTTGTGCTTCCATCAATGCAAACAGTTTGAATACTGTGATTCACACAGCATCCACAGTTCCAAAATCTCCTAAGCAAATATATATATTTTTTGCTAGACTTAAACAGGACTTCTATTACAGCTATTATTGTTTCCATTTTAGCTATTATTTCTATTTCTATAATAAATTATAGTTATGACAATTATGAAACTATAAATTATTTCAATTTTAATTCTTTGTCTAAGTACTGGTCTACTAGCAGGTTGTGCAACTATGTAAGTAAATAATAGACTAAAGTAAGCAGGTTATAGGTTCAATCCTTATGAGAGGATCTATTCACTTTCTCTTTCTGTGGCCACAGAACAGATGGATCCTTTTGTTACAAACATACCCTCCTGTTTACAAGGAGGAAATGAGGCAGAAGAATGTAATGATGGGTGAAAGAATTTATTTCTGCTGCTAGATACTAAAGATATATATATATATACTAAAGATAATATGCAAAAACCCCTAAAATTGTTTATTTTCTAGTGAGAAAATCTGCATATCTTCAGTGTTTCCAAATCATGTCTATTTCAGGAGTTTATGAGGGCAATTTCTTCCACAGAGAGGCAGCCAAAGAAATCAGAACCTCAAACGAACCCATCAGTGGAGGAAGGCAAGGTTAAGGAAGAAAACAAACCAACCTTGGCAGCATAATGAAGTGCTGTGAGGTGGGTTGATGCTGCTTTCACATCTACATCAATGCCAAGATCAGACACCAAGAACCGGATGGCTTCATCCTGCCCAGTGACTGCTGCCCTGTGCAGAGCCTGGGCCCCCAGGCTATCCTCAGCCGAGACACAAGCCTAGCAGACAGGAGACAGAAGCAAAGAGGGTAAGAAGCAGAGGGTAGCTAGTGCTGTGCCACCAGCTGTGATGCTGGCCCCACACACAAATACTGGTTCAAGTTCTGACTGCTCCATTTCTGATGTGGCTCCCCTCTAATCAGCTTGGGAAGGAAGCAGAAGACAGCTCAAGTACATGGGACTCTGCCACCAAGATGGAGTCCCAGATGCAGGGCTGTGGTCTAATCTAGCCTAGTCCCAGCCATTGTGGCCATCTTGGGAGTAAACCATAAGATGGAAGCTTTCGGACTCTTCCCCACCTCTCTGGCTTTCAAATAAATAAATAAAACTTTAAAAAAATTAAGAAAACTGGGTCTATGCACATGCTGACATTTTGGGAAAACTGTTACCTATGTACATTTCTTTGGGCAAAGAAAAACACAGCTTTTGTATGATTCTGAAAAGAACTGCCAACTAAAATAAAGGTTTGAGAGGCAGGATTCCAGGATATATTGCCACAAGTACAGACGGACAGCTTACTTTGACTATTACTATTGAATATGTTGCTGTTTACTGGACATTTACTTTGTGAAATGTTTTCTAAGCATTGTATTATTTAAACATATAGGAACATTCTTAAGAAATTAAGTTTGCTTCCACTTCAAGGATGTTTAAATAGGTCGACAGGGTCCCACAGGAGCAATGTGGCAGAGTTGTGATTGAACTCTGGTTCTGAAGAACAAGGTACTCTATTAAGCCTATGATTTAAAATTTTTAGGATCAAAGGAATAAAAGAAAACAATTTTTATACCTCATGTTTTTCAAGAAGCAGCTTTGCTATATCGATGTGGCCACACTGGATTGCATCCATAAACGGGGTGATGCCACACTTGTCTTTGCTGTTTGGTTCATACTGGCACCTAGAGTCAAAATCCACAATAACAGAATTGAGAACATTCACCATGTCACAGCGGATGGACAAGCTGACACCTGGTCTTCTGCACGTAGACTGTGTGTCTTACAAATGATTTGGGGCTCCTCTCTCCTTTGTCATCACCCCAGTTTCCGAACTAAGCTCTAGGTCTTGAGCTGCATGTAGATCACCACCCCTAATAAATCCCTCATCCTCTAACCTTTTCTGTCCCACTTGCTGTCACCAGTGGCTCTAGCTCTTCATGCCAGAAGAGTCATCCTTGCCATCCCTTGTCCTTATTCCTCATTATCAATTCATTACTAAAAATCTCTCAATGCTACAACCAAAACATCTAAAATATCTGTATCCTTCACTCCAGCTCTGCTTTTACCCCAAGACCTAGTCTGTTCATCATATCTCCTAATGGTTTTCTCACCTTGACTCCTGCCTCACCAAACCATTCTCCATAGCAACCATATTTATTTTCCCCACCATATAATTGGGTAAGGTAATTCCTACTTAAAACCTTTAACTGCTCTTCACTGCAAACAGGACAAAATTGCAAACGTCAGCATGACTTCTGTATCTGCTCACCTCTCCAAGACTCCCGATCCCAGGCTTGCCAGATTTCTCTCTGCTTCCTAGTTTTCCCATTGCTAGGCCTTTTGCTGCCTCTGCACCTGCCCGGCCTTCAGCTAAGAACATTAGTGCTCTTCTCTTTTCTTGGATAATTCTAATTTATCCTTCAACAACCTCAAGGTAAATGTGATTTCCACAAAGGCCTAGCCTTACCTATTATCCTCCCTGTTTTCCCAACCTACACAAGTACCTCTGCTCTCCTATGGCATTCTGAACTTTTCATTGGTAGCATTACCACACCTGGTGAATTACATATGTTTGTGGGGTTATTCTTATAGCTGCCTTCCACAACTAGACCACAGGCTCTGTTAAAGAAAAACGTACTGTGCTTATTGAATCAGCCAGAACATAACACATTGGAGGTGCCTGAAAAGTGTTTTGAATCAATAAAGCTCTAAGTCTGTGTACAATCAAATGTGTTCTCATTGTGGGCCCTGCCTGATGGCTTCCTTGCAAGTGCTGGGATCCCATATGGCTGCCGGTTCACATCCCGGCTGCTCCACTTCCCATCCAGCTCCCTGCTTGTGGACTGGGAAAGCAGTAGAGAATGGTCCAAAGCCTTGTGACCCTGCACCCACATGGAAGACTCAGAAGCTCTTGGCTTCAGATTGGCTTAGCTCTGGCTGCTGCGGCCACTTGGGGAGTGAATCAGTGGATGGAAGACCTTTTTGTCCATAAGTCTACCTTTCCAATAAAAATAAATATTTTTGAAAATACATGTTCCCATTTTGACAGGTGTTCTTCTTGAGTCATCTCTCCTATTCTTCTGACTTCATTCATCATCTCTATAAATAAACTCAACATTTCTATCTCAATCTTCTGTGTCTGTTAGTGCTTGCAGGATGTCTTTGTTTAGATATCCAACAAGCACTTGAAACTCATGTGTCAAGAAGTGCAATTCTTTCCTCCAAATCTTCCCGACATCCACCACCACTCAGGTGGTCGTGCTTGACACAAAGTCTTCCTTGACTTCTCCTTCCTTCTCATTTCTTTGATCAATTTTCTTACCTGGGACAGTTCATTCTACTTTTTAAATACTTCAAACCTTTCTCTTTTGTCTCTATAGTCATCTCTAATTTAGGTATTGCCTGTTTAACTGCTACAGCCCCCAAATGCACTCTCCTATGCAATCCCCTTCCCAGCCATTCCCTATTATGCAACCAGAGAATAAAGGATATTTGAAAAATTCAAAATAATTAACATTTTTACCAGTTGGCTCACCTCTTAAGAAGCAGCTTTACTGCATCTAAACAGCCATGCATTGCTGGGAGAAGAGAGTTGAGAAACAGAGCTTTTAGTGTACATACAAAACGCTTCTTGCCTCCTGGCTCCACAGTCTGCCATCTGTCAAGACTTATAGAAAGGAATAACTAAATTAGGTTCACTGCTACAGTTCTACAATAATAAAAATTCATCTGCATAAGCAATAAGAAATGATGCTTACACTTTACATGTACATAGTTCACACATGATAATGCTATCTTTATGAACACCTGCATGGTAAACTTTCCATCTTAAACTTATCTTCCCAAATTTATGTGGCAAATCTCTGGAGCTAATTTCTGCCTAAGGTTGTGTAAACAATTACTTTTTAGAAAAAATTATTTATTTGTTTGAATGGGACAGTGAGGAAAATGGGGGTAGGGGTTGGGAGGAGGAAAAGAGGGAAAGAAAGGTCTTCTTCCATCCACTGGTTCACTTCCTAAAACGCTCCTATGTCCAGGTTTCATACAGGAGATAACTAGACATCAATGTCTCCCACATGGGTGGCATGGACCCATGTATTTAGGCTATCTTCTGCTACCTTCCCAGGTGCATTAACAGGGAACCGGAGGAGGGGAAGGGCAGCAGCTGGGACTCAAACCAATGCTCCAACATAGGATGTAGCTTAAACCCACTGGCACATCACTGGCCCACAAAACATTTAAAAGGAATCTATAACAAAACAATCAGACATTTAATTCTACTAAAAATAACTACAGTCATGTAAGCTTTTGACTATCTGTCTCCACAGTTTGGGGTGTTGATTATTTCTCTAAGGGAATGAAAGGTACTGGGGAGAAAATGGGTCACATAATTCAAGAACTGAACTTTTTCTATTCACCTGCCAAGTTTTAAAAAGGAATTTTTAAATCTCTAACTCCAACTGTACCTGGAAAATGTCTGCATGTTCCTAGTCTACATATCAAAGGTGCTTATTTTAGAGGAACTAAATATTCTGTATACTAATTCAATGTACTTTCCCAGAAGATAAAGGTTACCTTCCCAATTTCTTGACTGGGATGGTTAAACTTCTTTTTGTTGTTGTTGCTGCTACATTTTTATTTTAAATTTTTAAATTTTTTCATACAATCTCAAATAGACTGGGATTCCCCCCCAAACTCCCACCCACTGACAGATTTTCCCCACGTTGCTGCAATAGTATAGTCCTTTATAAGGAGTCATAATTCCATCAGTCTCTTATTTAAGCATGCCCCAACACTGCTGGTACAGACAATGTCAGACATTTCAGCATGGAATGTTAAATTTCTTAGTGTCCACTTCTTGTTTGGTTATAGAAAATTCACTTTTCACTAATTTAAAATCATCTATAGGGTGGGCACTTAGCTTAGGACTTAAGATGCTTGTGTCGGGGCCAAATGCAGTGGCCTAGCAGCTAAAGTCATCCCATAAGGGCAGGATCCCACATAGGTGCCGGTTCTAATCCCAGCAGCCCTGTTTCCCATCCAGCTCCGTGCTGTGGCTGGGAAAGCAGTCGAGGACGGCCCAAAGCCTTGGGTTTCTGCACCATGTGGGAGATCTGGAGGAAGTTCCTGGCTCTCGGCTTCGGATCAGTGCAGCATCAGCCGTTGCAGTCACTTGGGCAGTGAATTAGTGAACAGAAGATTTTCCTCTCTGCCTGTCCTCTCTGTATATCTGCCTTTCCAATAAAAATAAATGAATCTTAAAACAAACAAAAAAAAGATGCATGTGTGCCCTATCAGAGATCTTGAGACCTGGTTCCAGCTCCTGACTTGTCTCCTGCTGATGCAGACCGTGGCCAGCTGCAGTGTCACCCAAGTCACTGGGTCCCTATTACCAAGGAGGCAGGCCTGGATTGAATCCAAGACTTCAGCTTCAGCCCTGGCCAGGAAAATTCTAAGCAACTGAGAAATGGACAAACAGATGAGGCTCTCTATTTAACTGTCACTCAGAGGAAGGAAAAAGGGAGAAAGGGAGAGAAGTGCAAATTAACTCAGGGGATAAGGAAGAAGAAAGCAACAAGGTAATTCAGAGTTAAGGATCACTAGTCCAAACAATGAAAACTGCATCTCAAGTTTGTATCTGATGTTACCATTAGATAAATCAAACATCTTTGGGTCCAGGTATTTAAGCATTATTTTTGTTAAATGTATAGCAGAGTGGCAGGTGCCACACTGCTACATATTCTTTATCCTGTCTTTAATGCCAACAATGTGAAAATTATCCAGGAAAATCAGAGCTATGCTCACTAGGTGCCCACCATAATGATAAGGGTTTGCTCATGTCTGCCGTGCTCCTTAGAACCCAGCACAAGCTTGCAGCATGGGCAACATTACCACCATTCTTCCCCCTGCTGGGGTAACTTGTTCATGAGAGACGTGATTCCCTTGCCCTTGTCCAAGACTATGGAATAGAGCCAGTGTATCCTCTAACTTGGAGGACAATAAAGATATGCTTGGGACCCGGCACAGTAGCCTATCAGCTAAAAACCTTGCCTTGCATGTGCCAGGATACCATATGGATGCTGGTTCATATCGCGGTGTCCCTGCTTCCCATCCAGCTCCATGCTTATGGCCTGGGAAAGCAGTCAAGGACAGCCCAAAACCTTGGAATCCTACACCCGTGTGGGAGACCCAAAAGAACTTCCTGGCTCCAGGCTTTAGAGTGGCTCGGCTTCAGCCACTGTGGTCCCTTGGGGAGTGAATCACTGGATGGAAGATCTTCCTCTCTGTCTCTCCTCTCCTCCTCTCTATAAATCTGACTTTCCAGTAAAAAAAAAAAAAAAAAAAAAGATACACCAGAAAAGGAAACACAAGAAGAGCACCCTAGTTGAGTTACATTAGCTTGAGAAGCTATTTGCCAAAACGTCCCAAGCTGCTCCTCTTCCCTGCTGTCTACTTTCCTATATCCTCCAGTCTCCTGCAGATGACTTGAACAACATGATGTTCCTGTGCTGGGGGAGGCCAGCTGCACTGTGAGCCTGCAGAGCTGTACCTGCCGTGTGCAGAGGAGTTCTTCTAATCTTGCTCTCTGTCTTCCAGACATCTGGGCACACCGAGAGCAAGTACTGGAGGATCAGAGAGTCGCCTGCTCGGCTGGCAATGTGGAAACTGTTCCAGCCATCTTTGTTTTTCAGCAGTGGGTTGGCACCGTGTTCCACAAGGTCCTGGATCACCCCGAGATTCTTCCTTGTGCAAGCCATCATCAGAGGAGTCCTAGGGTCAACCAGGATAAGCCAATGGGATTCAAGGAGCTGAGAGACGGGAAAACAACTTTGGCTGGCTACTTGTCCACCTGCTCATGAGGGCCCTGGGAGGCATGTCAGTGGGGAGAGCAACTGTGCTGTGTATGTCCTTAGAGAAGGGATCCCTGGGAGGGAGAAGTGCTTACAGACTGGCTCCCAGTGCAACAGGACTCCACCTGTGTCGACTCTATCCTGTTCTTCATATCAGATCAGCAATCCCAGGGTGGAGACTTCATGATGTCTTAAAGAGATGCACAACCTCTGACATAGTAAGTACTAGAAACATTTTCAATCGAACAAGCCAAATGGAATCAGTACAGTCATATTTTTATCACGGCAGTGTACATGCACAGCGTTTTACACAAGTGCATGTATAACTGATTGTGTCTAAGTGTACTGCTTAGAGCAATGGTAATTAAAACAATGCAATTGCTGAAGTAGCAATTTAGTTACAGATCTCCAGAAGAACATTATCAAACTACATGTAGTGTGATAACATCTTTAAATTACATTCCATGGTGCTCTCTACCTTACTAAGGGAAATGATTGCCCCAAACAGCTAGCTGATCTTCCAAGAACAGGAACAAAGTGTCCTGTAAGTCATTGTCATACTAGGGGCAGGTTGGAGCAGGACGACCCTGCTGCTGGGTGACCACGGGGAGCTGAGAAAATCTATGATGTCTAAAGAGGTTGATGAAGTACACAAAACCTGACGTTTCCACAGGCAGTGGGCGGGCAGGATGTCTTTGTGGACCCTGGCTACCTACCAGTCGGCCTTCTTCAGACAGTCGACAGCTGCCCCTCGGCCCAGCAGGTAGCGTACACAGTCCCGGTGACCCATGGAGGCAGCCTCGTGCAGAGGCCGCTTGTAGTCTTGGTTGGTTGCCTCGATGTCCATGCCCCAGGCTTCGGTCAAATAGGTCAGGATGTCCAGATGCCCGTGGCGGGCGGCACAGTGCAGCAGGGTGTCACCGGCCGGCCCCTGGAAGCCTCTCGCCACTGGCAACTCCTCCTGCAAGGCCTGCAGCCTGCCATCCTGCACCAACTTACAGAGACGCCGCGGGTCCCCGGGCGGGGCCATCACTGCGAGCTGGAGCTGAGAGCAGGGGTGGACCTCTGCTTCTTGCCTCTGACCTTGTCTCCGGCTTCTGCCCCCAGGAATGTGACCTCCCCCAGCACCCTCGCGTCTCCTGGCCTGCTCAGGACCGGGAAGAAACCGTGGTTCAGAGCACACGGTACAGATCCTTGGAAACGGCAGGCAGCGGCAGGCGAGCACGCTAGGAGGTCACTCTGCGGGGTGTGCATCTGGTCGGGTGCTCTTGCCCAGATGTGTGGAGCACACCCACTCTCAAGGTTCGGGACGCGTCAGTAAGTGCTGTAGCAGCCCCTTCCACGGGTAGGAGACTGGCCTAAAACGTCAAGGAGTAGAGGGTGGGGACGTCACTCTACTGCAAAAGATACGGAATGGGACGGTGGGGTCTGCATGGCCCAGGCTGAGTCCTCTGCGGAAGCTGCAGGACTGGTGCACGGCCCGCTCCCTACCACCAGCTCCACGTGGCCTTCCCCACTGTGGCCTGCCTGACAGACGTCTGCCCAGGGCTGACTGCTGGGAAGCTCATACCCAGATCTTCAGCCGCCCGTGCGCAGCACCACTCGGCAGCCCGACCCGCCGGATAAGCAACAGACTGTGCAGTAGCTGCCGCCACCGCCGCCCAGGGAGACGGGAAGCAGCTTTGCCCCGACCGGATGCGAGGACCCAGCGAGGCGCCTAGTGAAGGCCACGCCCCCTGTAAGCGCTTTGGTATTGGTAGCGGTGGCTGACCGTCAGCGCTCCGTTTCCGGTTGCCAGAGCCAAAGGGCTCCAAAGGCTTTTCGTCGGCCCGGATGGCGGATGTTTCTCTTTACCGCGGTAGGACGGAACTGACGAAGGAAGTAGGCGGAAGTAGGAGGATGTTTGGTACCCCGATCCGGAGTTGGGGCGGAGCTGGTTGGCGCGGGCTGTGGTCAGTAGTCTCGATGGGCAGCGCCGAGTTGCGCGGGCTGCAGACTGGCCGGGAGGCCAACCCGTGTTCTTCAGAGCGGGAACTTTAATCTTAAAGAGAGCCTGCGATGGAGTTCCAGTCTTGGGGTGGGGGAGTGCTGGGAGAGCCGAGGTGAGCCAGGTGAACGGAGGCGGCCCATTCACCTGCTGTGGACAGGTGCAGGGCACGACGGACAGTGCATGGAGTCCCCGTGAGCTCGGGCCTGGGCCTCGCCCCCTGTACTCTCCGTGGGTCCCGGGAAGGGGCGGCTCGTTTCTCGGTCACTGGAAGAGGGGGCCGGATTGTCAAGGCCTCAGCTGTTGGCAAGCCAGGCTTTCCTTTTCTACTCAGATGCTCCGCTGTCCTTTGCCTTTCTTTTTCGTAGCCTCTCTCCTTACCCGAATAGATTAAAGTGATATGAGAAGGCCCTGAACTTTGGGAGAAATTAGGGCATGCTGCCTTTTCTTCATTGACCTTGCTAGATACTGGTCGTTTACTCTCTTGGCGTTTCAGGTTCCTTAGGGTGTAAAAGGAGAGTCGCTGCTGTGTGCCAGGGCCATGAACAAATGCCCTTTACTTTGGGCATTGCACTCTGGGTTTAATGGAACACTCTGCATTGATTACCCAATCGGCAAAGGACCCCCGAAGGCATCTCTGTGGTTTAACCAGTAAGGAAATTGGGGCTTCGTGAAGTTAGTGATTTTTTCATAGAAGTAAAGGCTTTAAAAGTCTTCTGGAAGGAATGGGTGTCTGACACTGCGCAAGTAACTGGACATATAATACAGATAGATCAAAGTAAGTCAGTTTTACTAGTAAGAGATGCAGTTTGGTTAACTTGGTGAATAATAACACTCACTGGAGACGGAGTTTCATTATGCCTGTTTGCCATTATTTCCTGTCTTGCTCCCTCCCCTCTCTCCCCTACCCCATCCTAGGAATTTGTCACCAAAACGTCTCAAATCTTATATCTTCAATTATCATTCATATGCCTTTTTTAAAAAAATTTTTTAAAGATTTATTTTTATTATTTTTTCATTGGAAAGGCGGATATACAGAGAGGAGAGACAGAGAGGAAGATCTTCCGTCCGATGATTCACTCCCCAAGTGAGCACAACGGGCCGATACTATGCCGATCCGAAGCCAGGAGCCTCTTCCGGGTCTCCCACGCGGGTGCAGGGTCCCAAAGCTTTGGGCTGTCCTCGACTGCTTTCCCAGGCCACAGGCAGGGAGCTGGAAGGGAAGCGGGGCTGCCGGGATTAGAACCCCCATATGGGATCCTGGGCGTGCGAGGCGAGGACCTTTAACCACTTGCGCCACCGCATATGCCTTTTGAAGACCTGTCTGAGTTAGTCTAAAGCCAGGAGCCAGGAGCTTTTTCTAGATCTCCCAAGTGGTTGCAGGAGCCCAAGGACTTAAGCCGTCCTCCGTTGCTTCCCCAAGCCATTAGCAGGGAGCTGGGCCAGAAGTGGAGTTTTGCAGACTCCAACTGGTGCCTGAATGGGAGGCTTGCATTGCAGGCAGAAGCTTAGCATGATACAGCATGGCACTGGCCCCTAAGTTTTTAATACCAAGAATTCTGGAAGAGAAAGCGTTCATGGTATTTATAACAATTTAACATTTTTAACAATATATTTAACATTGTTAACAGTTAACAATATAATATTTTTGACATGGAGTTAAAAATGGACATGGAATCGACTGGCAGTAGAGAAAGCCTTTCAAATATATAAAAATATGTCTTGGATAGGAAATAGTGATATTTTTATTGTGTTGGTTTGTGTGTGTGTTACTACTTCTTTCTAACTTATCAGAAATATAAAGTGAAACCCTCATTCATCAAAATAAATGAGTGCTTTCTCCAAGGGAGTGGCATGTATCTTGGGGAAAGAAATGCAGACCATGGAGCCTGTTCACTTTACCTGTATAATTTAGGGAGAGGTATGCTGGTAGCTGGCAGGGACTTGGCTTTGAGTCAAAAGAGAATACATAGGGAAAGAGCTACAGTTGAAGTGTTTTCCTTCTACATTAAAAAAAAAAAAGATTTATTTTATTTTTATTGGAAAGGCAGATATACAAAGAGAAGGAGAGACAGAGAGGAAGATCTTCCATCCGATGATTCACTCCCCAGGATACCGCAATGGCCGGTGCTATGCTGATATGAGGCCGAGAGCCAGGAACTTCTTCCAGATCTCCCACGTTGGTGCAGGGTCCCAAGGCCTTGGGCCGTCCTTGACTGCTTTCCCAGGCCACAAGCACGGAGCTGGGTGGGAACTGGGGCTGCTAGATTTAGAACTGGTACCTTTATGGGATCCCGGCACGTTCAAGGCAAGGACTTTAGCCAGTAGGCCACCGTGCCAGGCCCCTTTCTACATTTTTTAAAATTAAGAGTTAATGGGAACATAATATTGTGAAGTTTTTCCATTTTGTGTTTACAGTACTGGTAATATATTCTTAATAGTTCCATTTTCTTAAATACTTGCTGGTTCCTAAATATATTTGGCTGTGACATTTCACACTTTTTAAAAAAATTATTCGCTTTTATTGGATATACAGAGAGGAAGAGAGACAGAGAGGAAGATTTTCTGTCCCTTGATTTACTCCTCAAGTGGCCACAACAGCCAGAGCTGAGCCGATCTAAAACCAACAGCTCGGAGCCTCCTTCAGGTCTCTCACATGGGTGCAGGGTCCCAAGGCTTTGGGCCGTCCTCAACTTCTTTTTCAGGCCACAAGCAGGGAGCTGGATGGTAAGTGGAGCTTCTGGGATTAGAACCAGCACCCATATGGGATCCTGGGTGTGCAGGGTGAGGACTTTAGCTGCTAGGCTACTGTGCCAGGCTCCACGGTGGTTTTGTTTGTTTGTTTGTTTGTTTGTTTAAAGATGATATAGCGATTAAGTTTGAGGTTTTTAAAAGCCAAATGATAGCTTCCCGGATTAGCAGAGATACTGTTACAGAAGGAAGCACCCTGGACATGAGGAGTCAGAAGACCTAGGTTCTTGTTTTGGTGCCTTCACTTAGGAAAAGCCTTAAGGGCACAATGACTCTTTTTCTTCCCCCTAATATTTATTTATTTGGGAAGCAGAGAGACAAAAGAGTTCCCATGCATTGATTCACTCCTCCAGAAACCTGCAGCCGCCCAAGCTGTGCTGAGCCTGGGTCCATGCAGAGCAGGACCCCAATTACTAGAGCCATTTCTTCTGCCTTCCAGGGCCTGCGTAAGTAGGATACTGGAGTCAGGAACCAGAGGCAAGTGCTGTCCCCAAATACACCCATGTGGGCTGTGGGTATCCTGGCCATGTTTCTGTTAGGCCAGATGCTTCCCTGTGCCTCAGAACATCTCAATCGTATGTGTGCTGTGAGAATCCATTAAACTTGCAACAAAGAACTACAGAAGTTACTGTTTTTCTAAAAAGATATATTATTTATTTTTATTGGAAAGGCAGACTTACAGAGAGAAGGAGAGACAGGAGAAAGATCTTTTATCTGCTGGTTCACTCCCCAAATGGCCATGATGACCGGAACTGAGTGGATCCGAAGCCAGGAGCTTCTTCCGGGTCTCCCACGTAGGTGTAGGGTCCCTATACTTTGAGTCATCCTCAGCTGCTTTCCCAGGCCACAAGCAGGGAGCTGGATGGAAGTGGAACAACTGAGATACAAGCTGGGACCTATATGGGATGGCACATGCAAGGTGAGAACTTTAGCCACTAGACTACTGCTCTGGGCCCACTATAGAAGTTATAAGGCACTTAAGAGCTATTGGATAGTTTAGAATTCCAAAGCCCAGGAATGCAGCCTAAACTATAGAAGGAAGGCCTGACATGCATTTGAAGCAACATGTATTAGATGCTGGAGATAGACATTAAACACATGACAAAATAATAGTACAACAAAGTACATTATTGATATGTATTAGATATACTAAGTACATCCTTATACAAATAGTTGCTAGAAGATAAAAAGTACAATAAAGAAGTATAAAAAATAATAGTTTGTTTAATGGAAAAGCAGAATAGTTGGGACTTGGAGCAGGTTTCCGATATGGATGCTAACACCACAGACACAAGCTGCTACACCACAGTGCTGTCTGTATCATCCACGGCATTCCTAAGCACATTAACAGATTGCTGAGTCAGAAGCGGAGCCTCTGAGATTGAACACACTGTGATATGGGGTGTTGATGTCACAAGCAGCACCTTAACCAACTGTGTCACATGTCATCCCTCTGTCTCGTGTTAGTGCATCATTGCTACAGTTATTTGGCTGGAAACAACGCTTACACTTTACAGGAAATTCCAAGCTTGATCTTGCATGTGTAAATACTTCTTCCACTCAAATATGCTGCCTTTTGTCTGTTTTCAGTAGCCAGATTTAGCAGTATATTACACATCAGGGTGGGCATCTGAGCCCTTGAAGGAGCCTAAGGTTCTAGTTGGTTATGTGTCTCTGTTGACTTTCAGAAGTCTTAGACATCTAAGCTGACTTGGCTAGCTAGCTCAACAGACCTATGGTTGGTCCCAAGCCCAGGAGCATACAAATATGGATGACTTGATTTTTGTCTTACTCCTGGGTGCTTTTTGTCCATTCAAGTTTTTCTTCTTCAGGCCAGGTTGGTAATAGACATTTTCCTTCTATCTCAATGAAATATTTTTTGTCTGTTGGTAACTTTTACATCTTCAACCACAATTACAGATAGAGG